TAAATTACTGTTGTAAGAGATAAAGATACTAAGAGAGACTGTCTTGGAAGACTGTGGATATAGTAAATAAGAATTACAGAGTTACGTATATAAACATAATTAGAGAGTATTGGTTATATGGTTATATGATATTGTGGAAAAATTTTACCCGAGGCTTAAAAATGTCAAACACGGCAACTGTAGTTAAAACAGAAAAAACCAACTACAATTCCCACTCGAATAGCTGCCTCCCCATCAAACCAAAGAACAATAGAAAATATGTTGGGGAAAGAAAAAGAAAAAACTGATTTGACAGTAAACAATATACAGAGTATGTTGCAGATGATACAGGAAATATTAATGAAAACACAAGAGAAAATTGCTGATAATCATGAAGAGGCGAAAATACATCATAAAAAAATTAAGAATGAAATAGGAGAGGTAAAAGAAGATATTAAAAATATGAACAATAAAATAGAGACCATACAACAAGCAATGTTGGAGAACGACCAAAGAATAAAAAAAATGGAAACAAAAATGGACCAAATAGATGTCAAAATAGAAACGGTGGAACAGAAGTCATTACAACTAAATAAGGAGCTGTCAGATTGCGTTTTTAGAAATGGAGAAAGCTTCATATTTCCTACAGTTCCAAAGTATCGCGGAAGAGAAAGAGGAGGATTTGGGCGAAAAAATGGCAGAAATTTTGGCAGAATTAATACAAAGAAACAAGGTGGAAATAAGGGGACAGATTGACGAAATTTACTGTGTGCACACCAACTATATACGAAGACACAGGCTGGCAAGGGAATTACACATAAGATTTATCAAAAAAGCAGTGAGAGATGAAATTTATAAGAAATCAAGAGAAGAAACATTAACATACAAAGGCAAAGAAATTATAATTTTGAAGCAGATACCACGAAGAATCCAGAATCAACGACAACAATACCAATTTTTGACAACTCAACTGACCAGATATAAAGTGATGTTTAGATGGTTAATAGCAGATGGCATACTTCTTACATGGCAAGACAGAAAATATAGAGTGGACACAGTAGAGAAAGCACAAGAATTTTATAAACATTATCTTTCACAGGAAGAAGAACAAGAAAGCAAGGAAGAATCAGAGAGCAAAAGCCAGGAGGAAGATCAAATAAAAGAAATGGAAAGAGAAAGAGAAATAAGAAAAATACAGGAAAAAGGACGAGAAGAAAAAGAAGGAGCAAGAGGGAGAGTAAAAAGAGAGACAAGAAACACCCAAAAACAACTTCAGTAAAAAATAGTAGAGGCAATAAATCTCTTCTCTGTGAACATAAATGGTTTGAATGCACCAAAAAAAAGAACACAAATTTTTACTAAATTAAAAAAACTTGAAACGGACGTGAAATGCCTTCAAGAGGTACACATTAAAAAAGGATACCAGAAACTATTAGAGAACCCAAAATTAGGAAGACTATATACATCATTAATACAAAAGAAAAAAAGAGGAATTGTTATATATGTAAAAGAAAGAATAAAATCAAAGTTAATTCATTCGGACGAAGAAGGTAGAATGTTAATGATAGAATTAGAAATCGAACAAAAACAACTGTTATTAATAGTAATATATGCTCTCGATAAAAATCAACATGAATTTTTTTAAATGCACAATAAAATAATAGAACTAGGATATGATAATATTTGTTTAATTGGGGACTATAATGCAATAGCAGATATCAAAAAAGATTACAAGAGTAATAAAAAATTTTTAAAAAAAGAAAGATATATTACCAAAAGAATTCTTTAATATGACAACAGAACTGAAATTGTGAGATGTATGGAGAGAAATGAATAGTGAAGAGAGCCAATATACATTTTATTCACACCCACATCAATCCTGGTGCAGGATTGATATGACTTGGATGACAGTGGAAATACGGACAGCAGTGGAAACAGTAGAAATAGTAAATGAGTGGGCAGATCATAACCCAATAACTATAAAATGGAAAGGACAAAAAAGATTTAAAAGATGGACATTGAATCAAAATATATGCAAAGACAAAGAATACAAACAGATGTTGGAAAAGGAGTTGAAGATATTCTTTTTTTTTTATTGAAAAAGTTTTTCAAATACAAATTTTTCCCCCTTTTCCCCCCACTCCTCCCTAACCCCCCCTCGCCCTCCCTTCCCCCTGTGGCTTCTTCAAGGTACAACCCAAATTCATAACAGATTATATAATACTTTACCATCCCCTTACTCCATCCCCCATATGCTGACCCTTTCTTTCTAATATTATTATATCCCCCTTATACTATACATTTCAAAATAACATTCTACTATAACATTATATAATAACTCCTAATTTAGCATAGTGATATTATTATATCCCCCAATTTAACAATTTCTACTCATGATCTACTCTTTTACTCCTCCCCCCATACATATGTCTCTTAAATCAAATCTTTTTTGTATATTAATATGACATTTCAAAGCAACCTTCCACTATAAAACTATATAATAAATCCTAATTTAACATTTATTCAACTCATAGTCTGCCCATTTCCTCCACCCCCATAGATATATCTCTTAACTCAAATCTTTTACATATATTCATATCTAAACATAATATCCCTTTTCTTCAACTAAGCAATCAATAAGCTAACCTATCTCCACCCACTTTCCTACCGAACTACCATACATAATAGTTCTTGATATCTTTATTCTTCTGCCCACACCACTAAAAAGTATTCCCTTATATAAATAAAATCCTCAAATGACTTTAAGCTTGTAATCCATATAATATCTTCTGTAGTGTCTTTCAGCTGGATTGTTAACTCCATCACCCATATTAGGGTAACATCACATCCTAATTCCAACAGTATGTTCAGTATCTTCAATTACCATCTGCCCCCATCAACAATAGATGTCTTGATATATAAAAAACAACCACCCGAGTGACTTTATATTTGTATTCCATATAGTGTCTATAGTAGTGTCTTTCATCTAAATTATTAATTCCAACCACCGTAATAGGGTAACAACTAGATGTTCTGCGTGCCCCAATCCCATAACTCTCTTGCCTTGTAGCTCAACATAAACGTAATACATTTATCAAAAAATCCAAAATAGATAATTCCAATCCATTCAATTTAAGGCCCTTTTCACATCCCAAAAGTAGAGCACTGCAGAGGTCTGTCACTCTCCTCAGGATAATATAAATCAATACTTTGCCTCAGCTATCTTTTCATATATTCAGTCATCTCTTAGATAACTGGCATTGCACTGTTGTTTAGTTTAAAAGTTTTTATTTTTGTAAGACCTGCTTCTTCTTTTCTTGACTTTTTGTGGGTTAGATCTCCATCCTGATTTCCTTTCTATAAATTGTGTATCAACTATTTGGTTTTCATGCTGATCTATAACTTGATCTTGTTGATTTTGCTTTTGTGGCTTAAGTCTCCATTCTGGTTTCTTTTCTTTGAGTTGTATGTCAACTGATTGATTTCTATGCTGGTCTGTAACTTGATGAATCATCACATTAGAATCCAAAGCCGCCTCTCTTGTATTTATAAATAGTCCAGCTGTAACCTCTGAAGGAGAATCCAGAAGCTGCTCATCTACAAAGTCCTCTGTAGCTTGTTGTTTTTCCATTACTTCCATCTCTTTCTGCTTATCCTGAATTTCTATCTCTTGTTGATTTTGCTTTTCTTTATTCCACTCATGTATTATACCTGAAGATGTTGAACCCATTTTAAGAACCTTATAGTAAAATTCTTCCGCTTTTTCAACAGAATTTAGTTGGTATCTTTCTCCTTGATATCTCAATATTATGCCAACTGGGACATCCCACCTGAATGAGATGTTTTGTTTGTTTAGCTCAGTCACCAAAAATCCGAATTTCTTTCTATCTTTTAGTATCTTGGGCGGCAACTCCTTATATATCCAGATCTTTCTTCCATACAATTGTAGAGTGGAATTAAAAGATTTTTGCACAATATCATTTCTTATTTCTTTATCTGTAAAATAAATCACCACATCTCTAGGCAATTGCCTTTGCTTTGCAATCCAAGAATTTACTCTATAGGCCTTGTCGATCTTACAAGATACCTCCTCTGGATGAATCTTTAAAATCCCAGCCAGAACTTCAGCAGATATTTTTCTTAAATCATCTCTATTATTTTCCTGTAAGCCTCTCATTCTAACCGCAAATTCTGTGAGCCTGTATTGCATCATTGTAACTTCTTTTTCAATTCCTTGTTTTATATTTTCTGCATTGTAAGTGTCATGATCAGCTTCCTTTTTAGACTTTACTTCAGAGCTATTGTCTTGAATATTTATCAAATCATTTTCCATTCTTTGTATTTTATTGTTCAAATTATAAATCTTATCATCAACTTCCTCCATTTTAGACTCTAATAACTTGATATTTGTATCCATCTTTATAACTATTTCTGAAAAAGCATTAGTCACTGTTACAATCTTTCTTTGTAAGTTATCATACTTTAATTGTATGAATTCTTTAATTTCCTGCTTAAATTTTTCAAAATTCTGGTTCACAATCTCGTCATGTCTTGCCATTTCTTTCAAAACAAATTCTTTTAAATTAAAACCATTCTTCTGAGTCTGTAAACTCGAAACTTGTTCACATAATTGTAAATGGGGGAAACCCCCCCCCGCTGCTTGTTTGTCTGGCTTTGTTAATTTTAATGCCATCCTGCCACACAGACAAACTCTTTTTGAAGAAAGAGGACTTCTCACCAACAAGATCAATATCAGATCTCCAAGAAAAAAAAAGAAACTTAGAATAGAAATTTTTCTTTTCTCTATTCTAGCTAGCACTGTTTGCTCCGCTACTTTGTAACTTGTTACGGAAGGGCTTTCACTTTCGGCTACTTCTCAAGCCTCAGCGGTCGCCATTTTAAGCTTTTTTTTTTCCTTCACTTAGAAACGCTTATAAAATCATTAAAAATACTTGCAATTTAGGGTCCCAAGTCCAGATCTCATCCTCTTTAATTAAGCAATCTGTTGTTTTCGTTGAAAGGTTTGATCTCGTCGCCTGGCTCTGCAAGAGGCAGAGGTCTCCCGAAGCCCGGAGCAGCAGCGAAGGAAATAGGGAGCCTCATCCTGCTTCGTCCCCAAGAGTAAAAGAAAAACTCTGGGGACTTTGCAGAGGGCTCTACCTGCCCTCACCTGCTCTATCTCACATTTCCTTATGGAAATGGAGTTTTTCGAGCCGCCTTTCAGATGTAAAGGCGGCTCTTTACGAGCGACGGGGCTGGGGGTCTCAAAGGACCGTCTGATGGCAACGGAAGTCAAACCGGAAGCTGAGTTGAAGATATTCTTTAGTGTGAATAAAAAAGAAGATACATCAATACAAAACCTTTGGGACACGCTAAAGGCATACATCCGTGGACGGACAATGGCTTATAACGCAAGGAAGAAGAAGGAAAGGAAATGTCAACAAGAAAAACTACAGAAAGAACTTTAAAAGTTAGAAAGAAAATTACAGGAAGATTCCCAAAATAAAAAAATAAAAGAGGAATGGAATATAGACATAAAATAAATTTAACAATCCAAATGGAAATAGTGCAGAAAATAAAGATGTCAAAACAAAAAAAATTTGAACATGTGAATAAAACGGGTAGATGATTGGCCTATAAATTAAAAAAAGATAAAAGAATGATATATCAATTGAAAGATGAAAATGGAATAACCCAAAACAAAAGGGAGGACAAAAAGGAAATTATACAAAAGTTTTTCTCAAATCTATACTGCCAGGAAGAGATAGCAGAAGAAAAAGTTAAAGACTATATAGAGGGAACAAACTTGTGTAAAATTACGGAGGAACAACAAGAAATACTAAATAGACCGATAACTGAAACAGAATTTGATATGGCAATGAGAAAATAAACAAAACACCGGACCCGGACGGACTCCCAGTAGAGTTATATAAAAATACTCAAGAAATGCTGGGGTGGGGGGGGGAATGATGTTGGAAATATTCAATTTGAATATTGAAGGTGTTTTAGGTGGATGTTTTAGGTGTATTTTAGGCAAATACACCTAAAACATGGACAGAAGCAATAATCACCCTTATTCCCAAAGAGGATACAGATCATCAACAAATACAGAACTACAGACCAATATCATTGTTAAATACTGATTACAAGATATTTATGTCAATCATAGCTGAAAGAACAAAAAAAATCTTCAACAAACATACATTCAGATCAAAATGGTTTCCTGCCAGGTCGACAAATTAAAAACAATATGAGAACAATAATAAATACCCTAGAGTTTTGTGAAGCAAATCTGGAAAAACAAGCTTCACTGGTTTTCCTTGATGCCCAAAAGGCATTTGATAATTTGAACTGGAAATTTATGTTAAATCAATTGAAATTTATGGAATTTGGGACTAAATTTGAAAATATGATTGGAAAGATTTACACAAAACAAACGGCGAGGGTAATCATGAATGAAGATATGACAGGGAAATTCCATATAACAAAGGGGGCGAGACAAGGATGCCCACTTTTTCCACTTCTATTTATATTAACTTTAGAAACACTTTTGAAGAGAATTAGAGAAGATCAAGAAATAAAAGGGTTAAAGATAAAGACAGAAGAATATAAGCTTCAGGCTTTTGCCGATGATTTGGTGTTTATAGTGGAGGAACCATTAGAACAGGCCCAAAATTTATTTAAAAAATAGAAGAATTTGGCAAAGCAGCGGGACTTAAAATTAATAAAAATAAATCTAAATTATTAACTAAAAATCTTACAAAGATACAAGAGAAGGAATTAGAATGCAGTACAAAAATTCAAATAACCAAGAAAATAAAATTTGCCTTACGTAAAGGGATTTGCCTTACTGCAAGATGCTCCTCAATTAAGGAAGACAATTATGACAAATTACTACTGCAAATTAAAAAAGATTTAGACAATTGGAAAAATTTACAAATTTCATTTATAGGAAGGATCATTATGATCAAAATGAATATTTTGCCCAAAATACTATTCCAAGTTATACCAGTAAAATTAGAGAAGACTTTCTATGAAACATTAAATAGAACAATTACCAAAAGTATATGGCAAGGAAAAAGACTGAGAATTAGATTAAAAACATTGCAAGACACAAAAGATAGAGGAAGAGTAGCACTCCCAGATTGGGAAATATATTATCAAGCATCTTGTATAACCTGGCTGAAAGAATGGATGGAGTTAAGGGACAAAAGAACATTAGTGATTGAAGGGCACGATTTGCAAGTGGGATGGCATGCATTCCTTTGGGACGAAAAATATAAAATACATGGCTACTTTAGAAGACACATACTAAGGAATGCATTGCTACAAATTTGGATCAAGATTAAAAAAACATTACACAAAAATACCCATTTGGATTTCACCTACAGAAATATTAAAACATCCAAATTTAACTGAGTGGGACAAGATAATAAGATATAGAGATATATTAAAAGAACAAGGAAATCTGAAAACAAAACGAATTGGAACAAGATCTAAATAGAGAAGTCGATTGGACATATATGCAAATTCGGTCGAAATATAAAGAAAAAAAATTAAATGCGATACACACTGAACAAAATGAGTTGGACAAAATTATACAAGGGATGGAGGAGAAATTAATCAGTAGAATATACAAATTTTTGCTGCGATATAAAATGGAAGAAGAAATAGTTAAGGATACAATGATTAAATGAGCAAAAACCTTTAACCACACAATAGAATTGGAGAAATGGGAAAAAATGTGGCAAATAAGGAAAACCAGTTGAAGATGTTTCAGAGATGGCATCTACCCCTGGCTAGACTTGCAAAGATGTGTCCGAGTAAATCTCCAGTGTGTTGGAAATGTAACGAGCTATGGAACACACTACCACCTTTGGTGGACATGTCCAGCTGCAAAGAAGTTCTGGGCTAAAATTAAAGAATGGCTAGAAAAAATAATAAAACAACCTATAAGCGGAAAACCAGAGACATTCTTATTAGGGATATTTACGGAAAAATATACCAAGGAAATAAAATATTTGATCTTACACATTATAACAGCTGCCAGTATAGTATAGGGACAAAACTGGAAAAAACCCCGCATGTAATTAAAATGCCTTATTTTTATGCTTTCTTTAAGAAAAATATGTATATGTATGATCAATTATGTATAAGAGAATGTACATTTACATTGTGTGTACAAGAAATAAAAATTTAAAAAAAATCAAAATATTTTCCAAGTTCTTTAAGTCTACTCTGTATTTTTAGTCTTTTATTCTAGGTTCCCTGGATCCCTGTAAGTTTCCAGGAGTCTAGGAGTCATTTTCCCTTCCGTCAGTAGATGGCGCTCTCAATTTACTTTTCAACATAAATCTCTAAAAAAAATATTTTCCACCATTTTCAAAGTTATTTTTAGAGTTTCTTCTCTAGGGTTTTTTCTTATCCCTGGGGTAACTTTAAAGAAAAAAGAATCACCTCACCCAGCAACACAGTCTCTGTTCACTGCTCTCTTTGCTCCTGCACTGTCTTGGGTATTCTGGCTGGCCCCTGCTTCATGGCAGCTATTCTTGCTGCCACTGCACCTCATCTTCGGATGAGAGGGCTTTCTGAGTCAGGGTGGAGAGATGTGGCTCTCTTTGACCTGCAAGGCCGTCCCCCTTTACTTCACCACCCCTCCAGGTTGGCTATGGCTCAGTTGGAGCCCTCTGACAGGGAGAGCTCGGAGCAGGATCGCAGAGCTCGTGTTCCTCAACTCAACCATCAACCATCTTTATTTCGTCTACCCTATACGTTGATCTTCAACACTTCTTTTTCCCTCTCCCCTTTATTCCTCTTTCTCATTTTTCTTATTTTTCAACCATTCATACCATCTACACCACACTTTGTAATATACTGTTTCCTCTTTCTCCTTGAGTTCTTTTGTTAATTTGTCCATCTCTGCACATTCTAAAATTTTCCTAATTAAATCTTCTTCTGATGGTGGATTTTCCTTCTTCCAATATATGTAGTATCAAATAATATATTTCCTTGGTATAATTTTCTATAGAAATCCCTAGTAGAAATTGCTCAGGTTCTCCCTTTATTGAATTCTGAGTTATTTCCTCTATCCACTTTTTAACTTTCACCCAGAATTTCTTTGCCATTGGGCAGGTCCACCAGAGATGATAATATGTTCCATAGTTATTCTTACATTTCCAGCATTTCGGTGAATTACTAGGGAACATCTTCACTCTTCTAGCTGGTGGAAAGTGCCATCTATGAAACATTTTCATCTGGTTTTCCTTGTATGCCATTGATATTGTCAATTTCATATTTGTTCTCCACATCTTTTCCCACTTCTCTAATTCTATTACATGATTGAAATTCCTTGCCCATTTAATCATAGTATCTTTCACTATTTCCTCTTCCATTTTATACCATAATAAAAAATTATATATTATGCTAATTAATTTTTGTTCCCTCCTATATAGAATTTTATCCCATTCATTTTGCTCTAATTGTACCTGATCTGTCTTTGTATCTTCTATAAATTTTGAACTTATTGTAAGTACATCCACCATTCAACTTCGCTATTCAAATCTTGTTCCAGTTCTTATTTTGTTTTTAATTTTCCCAAATCATTTAATATGTCCCTGTATCTAATTATTTTGATCCAATTTATTAAATTTGGGTGCGTAATTGTTTCATTGGGAGAAATCCAAAATGGTATTTTTGTGTAGTGTTGCTTTTTGATTTTATTCCAAATTACTAATAATTAATTTCTAATTATATGCCTTCTAAAGTATCCATGGGTTTTATGTTTTTCACCCCATAAAAAAGCATGCCACCCTGCCTGTAAATTGTGTCCTTCTATTATTAGAATTCTTTTATTTTCCAACTCCATCCATTCCTTTAACCATGTTAGGCATGCTGCTTGGTAATAAATCTCCCAATCCGGTAATGCCACTCCCCCTCTGTCCCTGGTGCCTTGTAATGTTTTTAATCTAATTCTAGGTTTTCTTCCTTGCCATATAAATTTTGAGGTCAATCTGTTTAGAAATCAAAAAAACTTTTTTCTATTTTTATCGGTATAACCTGGAAGAGGAATACGATTTTGGGCAGGATATTCATTTTTATTGCTGAAAGCTTCTGCACCAGAGACAAATTCCTTGTGTGTCTAATCACACTTGGCCATTAAAGTATTCCATTCTATTCCATTCCATTTAAATTGGTGATAACTGCAGATTACCCACATATAATAATCACCTTGTAACTAATATATATTTTTAGCCTAATTGATTGGGAAAATGTGGATATATTATATCTTCACTTTAGCAAAGCTTTTGTCAAAATCTTTCATGGCATCCTTATTAAGAAAATGCTTAAATATAGGTTTGACAATTCCACAGTTTCCTCAAGGAATATATAAATACTGTCAAATGTATCTGGAGAAACATCTTAAGTGGGGTGTTACATCAACATGTTTATCAATGATAAAGAGGAGGGAGTGCTTACCAAAGTTGCAGATAATAAAAGTTAAAAGAGGTTTTTAATAGCATCTGATTTATGTAGTCACCCATCTTACCAAAAGCAACTTCATAGCTATCTTCAAATATCTGAAAGCACACCAAGCCAAATTTGCGCAGCATAGTATCTTTTAAAATATATTTTACAACCAGGTGGCCAAAGATAGAATTATGCAATTGGAAGTGACTTAAGAGTTCATCAAATCCACCCTCCTGCACACTGCAGGATTCACTATAACTACCAAAGAACCCAACACACAATTTACCAAAGAACTCACAAAAATGTTGGACACCTAATAATGGTAATGAATATCAGTTCTCCATTTCAGTGCCTCCAGGACTTAACTATTAAAAAGAGGAAATTATAGTTTCATTTGATGTTCAGCACTCTTCACAATAGATCAGAATAACAAAGGAATCTATTGCAAAACCCGTACATAACATACCAAACTCTACAGAGAACAGAGTAATTGAAATAATCAGGTTAATGGAACTTCACCTTTGCTTCATCTCTTCCAGTTCAACTATATACAGAAAAGTCAGAAGTAACACCCATGGAATCTCCCCTCTCAGGATTCATGAGTCTATGATGCTTAGAAACAATAGCACTCCTACATGGAGAACCCAAATATAGATCCATTCTGTAGATGACACTTTTATTATAATTAAAAAGGAACAGTTATAGAAGACACATGAGACAACAACATCTGTAAAGGAATAAAATTTATTGCAGAAGAACAACAAATTACTATTCTCCTCAATAGATGAAGCAATTAAAAACCACAAATCCAGATTATTGAAAAGCAATCCATAGTGTCCACAAGCAACATTGTCCTCAAGAGGGAAATGAGCAAATGCATTACAGTATCTGGAACCTCAAAAAGACAAAATATATTATATGTACAATATCTTTTAACACAACAGACACCCTCACAACTTGTGCTTGGCTATATAATCTACATAACAAAACCATAACAACCTATTTTTAAAAGTAGTAAGTAACTTGGGAGGGCCGTGTCTGTTTTCGCTAGCAGAAGCACTGCAGGCCGGTCCTTCGCTGTTTCCATGGGCCAGATCTAAGTACCCTGCAGGCTGCATCCGGCCCCCGGGCCTTGAGTTTGACACCCCTGCCGTACATCAAACTAAATCCAAAAATGCTGGAGAATTCCTAGTATTTAGACGTATCAGCTATCAATTGACCCATAAAGTCAATCTATACCCGTGATGGCGAACCTATGGTACATGTGCCAGAGGTGGCACACAGAGCCCTCTCTAGGGGCACGTGTGCCGTCGCCAGCTACTTTTCTGGTTTCCAGCATGTACATGTGTGCCAGCCAGTTGGTTTTCACGGGTGCCGGGGTGCTGGAAAATGGCTCCCAAAACGGCCTGAAAACAGCCCAAAGAATGCCCCAAAACAGCCAAAAACCAGGTATGCGTGCGCTGGCCAGCTGGTCTTCGGGTTTCCGGTGCTCCGGCACACATGAAGACCAGATGGCCAGTGTACATGCGCCAAAAACCCAAAGACCAGCTGGCCGGCGTGCACATGTGCACCGGCCACCTGGTCTTCGGATTTCTGGCGCTCCAGCGCGCACACATGCACGCGCGTTCCAGTTTGGGCACTTGGTGCCGAAAAGGTTAGCCATCACTGATCTATACCATGTAAAGGATATAGCCTAGTCAAAGAAGAAGCAAACAGCTCAGAAGACATCCTTGTCAGCAATCAACATCCTAGTAAAAAGTGTACAGTACCACACAAACAGTCCAAGAAGAAACAAAACCATAATAAACAATGAAGGAAGAAAAACTAATAGCCAGTTAATTCCACTCTCCCATTCATTTGATTATGTTCCCTGGTAAGGAAATGCCTGCAAGAAAACAGCCAAGCTCAGCAAACCAAAGAGCCCAACACTTTTTACCTGTCCAGTACCAAAAAGAGTTGCGAGTCTTCTGGGCCAATGATTCTATATTTTCCAAATCTCTTGTAATTGGATTTTTCTCTCATCTCTCCTCAATGTTCCCTCAGATAATTTATTTTGTCATTTATGCCACTTGGAATATAACCTTATGTTTATAGCATATTGTTGCATTTGCAGCCATAATACTTTTGAGATACTGCCTGGAAATCGTGGAAGTTTCAATTTTGTAGAGCTTGTAGAAGTCTCATTCTGAGCAAGTGATAATGAATATGTAAAATAACTAAAATGTAATTTTCCTTTTTTCCATCTAGCTTGCCAAGGCTTACATATAGTGAATGTTTCTCAATAGCATATACTTAATACTTATTTAAATTTCAGACCCTGTATGCTTGTTTGCCAGCACGGAAAACTATTGAGGCTAGTCTGCTCTGCCAAACAAACAAAGATTGCCCAAAAGATTTTATCCCAAATACGTGTGTGACGCCTTCCTTGGAAAATTATACCAGGCTCATAACGGTGAAGCATCCTCCTCAAATTGATATGTTGTTCGTTGGTCACCCACTGCATCTCCAATATACAGGTATGTATGATTTGGTGAGGATGCTAACAGAATTTGAGCAGGTAAATACATAATATACAGATTACAATTGGTTGATTTTTTTCTTTAACTGCATTTCTTTCTTTCAATGTTAAGGTTTATCAGACATTACACAGTTTTTTTACTGAGTGTTAATGATATTACCCTGTTTCCACAGTAATCAAATTTATATATTTTCATTTAGATTATATGTATATGTATTTGGTCATGT